CCAGCAATGGTGGCTCACACCTGTAATCCCAGCACTTTGGGAGGCTGAGGTGGGCGGATCACCTGAGGTCAGGAGTTCGAGACCAGTCAGGTCCACATGGCAAAACCCTGTCTCTACTGAAAATACAAAAATTAGCCGGGAGTGACGGCAGCTACTATAAGCCCAGCTACTCATGAGGCTGAGGCAGGCAGAATTGCTTGAATCCAGCAGGCAGAGGTTGTAGTGAGCCGAGATTGTGTTACTGCACTCCAGTCTGGGCAACAGAGTGAGACTCCATCTCAAAAAAAGAAAAAAGAAGAAAAATCTTCAAAAATTATATTCTAGAGGAAATGCTCCTTGATGCTTGGACTTGGCCTGGTGCCCTTATTTTATGTAAACTCTTCTCAGAGCATGGTATTTCTTTTCGTCAATGAGAGTTTACAATTAGTTATTTTTGTGATTTCTTGATCAATGCCTGTTTTTCCCACTAGTCCTTGAGCTCCATGAATGCAGGGACTATGTCTAGTTTTAAATTTTTTTTTATTTTGAGGCAGAGTGTTGCTCTGTTGCCCAGGGTGGAGTGCAGTGGCCTGATCTTGGCTCACCACAATCTCTACTTCTTGGGTTCAAGTGATTCTCATACCTCAGCCTCCTGAGTAGCTGGGACTACAGGTGTGTGCTACCATGCCTGGCTGATTTTTGTGTTTTTAGTAAAGCCAGGGTTTTACCATGTTGGCCAGGCTGGTCTTGAACTCCTGGCCTAAAGTGATCTGCCCACCTCGGCTTCCCAAAGTGCTGGGATTACAGGTATGAACCACAGCATCTAGCCAGAATATGCCTGTTTTGTTCATCATTCTCCTAACCCTGAGCATAACCCAGGTAATATTTGTTGCATGAGTGATTGAATGGATGAAATCCTTAGCATGTATACTTCTCTCCCTATTTCCAACTGCCTGTTGGACATCTCTATCAGTATGTTCTTCTAGTATCCGTAGCAAAACACACCCCAAACAGAATTTCTTATCTACCTCCAAAATAGGTTGTTTTTCCCAGCCACCATTTATCGAATTTCTCAGGCTAGAAATTGTGAGGTCATGTTATAGTCTTCTGTAGGACACAAAGTCCTGTTATTTCTTCTGGAGGTGGCATGGTCATCAGAATGCCTCTATTCAGAGTTTATCTCTGCCACTTACTAGCTAGTAACCTTGACTAAGACGTTATCAAATATCTCATGGCCTTAGCTTTCTCGTCTGTAAAATGGAGATAACTACCTGAGAAGGATGTGTATGAGGATCAAATGAAATAATATATGTTAAAGAGCATTGGTTGGGTATGGTGGCTCATGCCTGTAATCCTAGCATTTTGGGAGGCCGAGGCAGGATGATCATTTGAGGCCAGGAGTTCAAGACCAGTCAGGCCAACGGAGTGAGACTCTGTCTCAATAAATAAGTCAATAAATAAAGAGCAGTGTACAATGTAAAGAGTTGAGTAAGCATCAGTAATTATTTACAAAAAAAGTAACTTTGCACAAATTTCACCTTCTTTTTTTTTTTTTTTTTTTTTTTTTTGCACAAATTTCACCTTCTTTTTTTTTTTTTTTTTTTTTTTTTTTTTTTTAATTTTCCTTTTTTTTTTTTTTTTTTTTTTTTTGGACCCTGAGTCTCACTCTGTTGCAGTGCAGTGGTGCAATCTCGGCTCACTGCAACCTCTGCTTCCCGGGTTCAAGTGATTCTCCTGCCTCAGCCTCCCGAGTAGCTGGCATTATAGGCATGTGCCACCATGCCCAGTTAATTTTTGTATTTTTAGTAAAGATGGGGTTTCACCATTTTGCCAGGCTGGTCTCGAAATCCTGACCTCAGGTGTGGTTTTAAGTAGGTCACATAAAGGGGTAATATGCATACTACTTAAAAAGCTTATTCATTGTCTTATCTTCGACCCTTGGTAAATGGCTAAGGATACAAACAAGCTCATTTTGTAGACTCCAGTGTCTCCAAATCTGTCTCTCATTTGCTGCCGGAAAGGTCTTTCTAAAACACATCAGCTCATGTCATTCCTCATTAAGAACAAAAATAGGCCGGGCGAGGTGGCTCACGCCTATAATCCCAGCACTTTGGGAGGCCAAGGCGGCTGAATCACAAGGTCAGGTTTTCGAGACTAGCCTGGCCAATGGCCAACATAGTGAAACCCATCTCTACTAAAATACAAAAATAAAAAATAAAATAATAATAATCCTCAGGACAAAGATCAAATTCCTGAGTTTAGCCCTGACCATTCATTTCTAGCCAAAATCCCACCATCCCTCAGCCCCAGATTCCACATTGTAGCCATAATGGACAAGTCTCAACTCTACACACTAACCCTTTACATCTCTACGCATCTTTCCCTTTCCCATACAGTATTTTCTCACCCGGACAAACCTGAACTCTAGCTCTACCTCTAAAGTCACTTGCCCTGCAAAAGCCTAATATATTTCAGAGTCAACCCCTTCTTTCTTTGTCTTTCAATCAAAGAACTTTCCCCAAACTGCCTGTCAGTATTGTGCTTCTACTTATGGAGTACAGTCAGTCATATATTTTCTCTATTCTGGTTCCCCTACTCTATCCCAAATGGTCATTTTCACTAGGTCACTCACCCTTGAAGGTAGCACACACTACCTGGTACATGGTGGGCACTCAAAATATGTCTGTTGCTTTGAA